GTAGTATAAATAACGAGCATTCTCCAACCAATTCTATCCTGGGACTTCCTTTCCAGTTCCAACCAATTATTGTTCATTCTTCACATATCTATTTCCATTTCTCGGTGTGATGTGTTCTCTGGTCTTCCTCTTCTCATTTTGCCTTGAGGATTCCATGTGAGGGCTTGTCTTGTGACGCAGTTGGGTGATTTCCTCAATATGTGTCCTATCCACTTCCAGCGCTTCTTCTTGATTTCTTCCTTCACTGGAATCTGGTTTGTTCCCTCCCATAGTAGGTTGTTGCTGATTGTGTCTGGTCAGCGGATCCGAAGTACTTTGCGTAGACAACTGTTAATAAACACTTTTATCTTCTGAATAATAGCTTTCGTAGTTCTCCTAGTTTCCGCCCCATACAGTAGAACTGTCTTGACATTTGTATCGAAAATTGTGACCTTGGTGTTGGTTGACAGTTGTTTCGAGTTCCCGATGCTCTTCAGTTGCAGATATGCTACTCTTGCTTTGCCGATCCGCGCCTTCACATCTGCATCAGATCCACCGTGTTCATCAAGGATGCTCGCCAGATATGTAAAGGTTTTTACATCCTCCAAAGCTTCTCCGTCAAGTGTGATTCGACTGTTTCATGCTGTGTTATATCGGAGAATCTTGTTTTTCCCTTTGGGTAAGTCGAGACCTACCGCTGTTACACTGGTCGTCGTCTCGTGCATTTGTTGTTGCGTGTGCGATAGAAAAGCCAGATCGTCTGGGAAGTTTAGATCATTCAGCTACATCCTAGATCACCACTGCATCCCATGCTTCCTCTGCAGGACACTCTAGTCCTTTTCATTAATTTTTCATGTTCTGAAATCCACGAAAACTATTTGTATTGAGATGTGATTTATAATTTTTAGGAAAATCTGTTGACTGTTTCTCATTTATCTTACATAATAACAATATTCATCACAAAGATTATCTTCTTTAATTACCAAATTTAAACTCTGTACATTTAGTTTGACAATAACTCTATTAACAAGTTACTAAACATTAACAAATAACAAGAAATTTTCATTTAAAGGTTAAGATGACAAATGAAAAAGTACTAGATTATTATCACCAGAACTTATATTAACACAATTAGAAATGTCCCAATATAAAAGCGAAAATTAATTTATCACTATGGAAAAAGAAAGGAGAAAACTAAAGTGGAAAAAAGGTCTTGTTTTTTTTTCAGTAATCAAATGTGTTAATGGTGTTATGTACTTTGTGAAAAAAGCATTTATAGTTAGTTGAAACATACTTTAAAAGCTGAGAACATGTTTAAGAATGCTCTATACTATCAGTATTCTTAGAAACGTCCTCGGAAAATCAAGAAACCAAATAATCAGGCTTTTGCTCGACCCAGTTGATCCGATGTTAAATGTTTTTATTAATTTGAGTTGCAGCAAAATCCGATTCAAAGGCTTCAAGTGGCGCAGCTGAGTATTGATGGTAATCTTGCTAGCTAATTTAGGTGGTTAGTGGAGATCGGATTAATTCGCCACTCCTATGCTGTAATTGAACTACTAGGAGTTCACACCTTGAGGCTCTAAAAATCGTAACAGGTTGCCCGATGTGTATACTTATGAATGGTATGAGTCTTGGCATGTGTGGTTGTATGTGTAGGTACATGCTAAGGGCACGCACATGGATTTGCACTAGGAATATAAGCTGAAAAATGTGCTCTTTATGTCTAACAACGGGGTTGAATGGAGAGTGCTGGTGAGTGGCCTATGCTCCTCCACGCGGAGTAACAGGCGTAAGTAATGTCTAATAAAATCAGTGGTCTCATCCTTAAGGTCGAAGATCTGATGAAAAGACATGGTAGCGAATACTCGGGAGAAGTGACCTACAACCATCCCTGAGAAAGTGCTTATGCTTATGTGTATGCCATGACGTACATGGATGAGTCTTTGTACCGACGGTATACATTCAATGTGCAAGAGACAGTCAGTGGTAGAAAATACGTTCGAACGGAGCATTGACCACTTACTCTCCCAGATCGGTTAATATATGTATTCTATGGGATACATAATTCAAAACTTATGCTACAGGTGTGCATGTAACGTATATTTGCTCGCAAGGTAAGTATACCTATGTGTATGCTAACGGATGATTGGATAAAAACTTATGTGTCACCGGTATGCATGTATTCCACACTTGACCCTGGAACGACGCCCATATATCAAGACCCGGGATTCCAACGATTATCACACGAAATCAGGTCCATGTGATGGGTTTGTGAGCCTCAAAAAGCAGCTTTCTAATTTAGATAAGCCTATGGGCTTTACCGATTAAGGCTTCACCAAACTTAAATTGTTGGAACACGGAATAACTTATTTAAAGAATCAGCTTATTTCAAAACATCTCCGACAAAAATCAGTTAGATTGATTTCCCAAAACGTATCAAACTCTCTATTAAAATGTTCACTGAGTTTCACAAATGAATAAATCTAAGAAACGCATGCTATGTTCGGTTCATCGCAATGGTAATTTTAATTAAGTGACATAATGTTATATGATAGAAAAAACCTTAACACACAAGTTATATTAAACAATGTGAAATACTATACATGGTTTACTTGATATCTTGACTTCTTGCTTTCTTAAGTATGACTGGATTACAGAAAGATCAAATTTCATCTATTCACTTACTAAGATGTTCGTGACGTTGATTTGAGAAAAAGGACTCTTTATTAAACTACAGTGTAGTGTTTGTACATTATTTTAACATTATCATTAGACAATCAAAGTGTAAATGAATCTTCCTAACTATGTTGGATATAAGATATACTTGATCTAAACATAAATGTCTCTAGTTACTTAATTTATGTCATATTTAGCATCTTCTTTTGAACACTTTAAAACATTTAAAATCATCTATTGACTCTTAATATATAACGTTGTTTTATCAAGCTGATCGAGGCCTGTAGACGGACATGAGTTCTGTAATCATCTTCAGAATATATTTTATTATCATTATACAAAAGGTGAAACGAACAAACTTGTTGCTCCTTCTATACTATCACAATATTTGAATATTGGTGTATTCCTCTATACTATAGATAGACGAAATGATAACAAAAAGATAAATCTAGTGTTATTTTTTGAAAGTTGATGTTTGACAGATTAGAGAAATTACCAAACACTTCCAACAACTCAGATGCCGTGAACTAATCTGCGAAATATTCTGTTTGACCAACGTTATATGCTACTTGTAAGTGATCACTGACGTACTCCATTGTGCATCATTTTGTTTTGATTCTTTTTCTGATCAACGATTCTACGAAATATATACGAACTCGAATATTCATTCACGTATTTGATTTATTTAATTAATTACGTTATTCACCAACGCGAGTTAAGTCGATGACTATATATGAGAAATGGTGACATGTATATTTCAATAACAAGCAGCGAACGATCTACCTAGAGTCAAATTTCTGGCCACTAAAATATACATCTTTATTTTATCTAATAGTTGAATTCATAAGTCGATCAAGTGTAAATTACCATTGAAAATGTGGAAGCACTGGACAGTCGTTTTGTCCTAGTATAGGACTTCTCAGTAGTGTGTATCCACGATCCCGCACATGGGACTCGTATTTTCAAAGTTCTAATAATCCGTATTACCCAACCAGATTCAATCATTAAAGTTTTCTATCAATTCATCTGATAAAACTTTTTTTCCATCTACCCTATATATAAGGTACCTGAATTCTAATATATATTTGTCTATCACTTTATCAAACGACAGATAAAAAAGAAGTAAACTGTAGTGTTCTTGTGTATAAGTGTGACGACGGACCACGGGTGTTCTGTTATACGCGGTATATCAAGAAATCAACTTTCAAGATATAACATCTGACGACGGGGTTATCGTACCAATATGTCATTTACCTTTGAACAATTTGAAGCCTTGCTGAAACGCCAAGAAAAACGTACTCAGTTTATGTCATCCGCTTTCAAACGCTTTTGCAGTGAAAATGGCATATCTCATCGACAATCTCCTCCGTACCATCCTCAGTCGAATGGCCAAGCAGAAAGATTCATGGATACGATAAAAGAGCTCTGGTCAAATGGGGAGGTGAGGGTATCCCAGAACAAGTGATCAGTAAGTTCTTAATGTCTTACAGAGTTACCTCTAATCCGGCAGTACCAGCAGGAAAGTCGCCGGCCGAGTGTATGTTCGGAAGGAAAATCCGGACAGTCTTTAACAGTACGTTGCCGCCCAGAAAGACAAATAAACCCACAAATGAATATCGTACGGTAACTCGTAGCTTCCAGGTGGGTGAAAAGGTACTTGTCAGATCGTATCAAGGTAACAGGAAGTGGGAACCAGGTGTCATAGAACGTCGAATCGGAAATGTACTGTACCTAGTCCGGAAAGGTGTCGGAAAATGCATAAGACATATAAATCAAATGCAAGAAACGGCAGTACAGTGGTCCCAGGAAACCGACTCCCATTTCAACTGCTCGCAGATTCATCTCAGAAAAACGATCATGAGCGCAAACATCGAAGAGACAAACGACACAAGGAGAAAGCTGTACAACCCTCGAGAGTAATGGATCGCAAGAGGAATGCGACAACCAAGTTTCAGGTGGATCCAAGAAGAAAATCTTACACAACAGACTTTAAGGGGGAATGTATCACGACGGACCACGGGTGAACTCGAGGAAGCTGTAAGAGGCTCAGAAGGAGCCGAAGACGTTTCATCCAATCACCCTTCGGAAGAATATCCTAGAATTCCAACGTGTAGCTTCCGATTGGATAATGCTAAAAGCCACCTGTATGCGGATTGGAGGACTGTAATGATGATTTCGTTCTTACTAAAAACTATAAATACCTGACAATTTTGCACTGTGATTGACACTGTTTGTAACAATATTCCTTTCATTAGTCTTCTGTCTTCTTATTGCGACTTGGAAGGATTTTGATGTTCTAATGTTCTGTTATACGCGGTATATTAAGAAAACAACCTTCAAGATATAACAATAAGTTTTCCTGTATTTAATATCGTAATTCATTGTAATCGTTTTATAATAACGCATAACTACAGATAGTAAACTTTAATAATTCATCATTTCAAACATGTATGAAATAGGTAGCTTAATTATAATATTTGTAGAGTTGAAAATAAGTGGCGGAAAATTTGAATAGGCCGCCATTTATTTTAGAATATATTTAACTAAAATAAACACTATACATTATGAATTATATGTATATATATAGATCTTATTATAAAACAAACATCCCTATAAAAGTAAATTGTAATATAACAAGAAACATTCAATTATGTTGTTCACTTTCCATTACATTCACGTTCCGTCGTTGGTTGATCCGATAGTTTTTCATTAATTACTATAAGAATAAAAGTATGAGATAAAAAGAACCAATAAAATATATTGACAAATTAATTCATTGAAACCTATGAGAAAAATATAATAATAAGAGGCTGATCAATTGTAGTCCTAAATATCAATGAGAATATTCAAGTAATCAATATCAAGTGAAACTGGACTTCACCACATTGTACAAGCAATTGGCTATCAGAACTTAGTAGCTAAGTGGATAATACGATGGTATTTGAAGTGGACAGCACTGGGTTCAAGTCCCAGAGTAAACATCAACTCTAAGATGCAAGTAAATCCAAATGACATGTCTCAAATAGAACGAAATGCATGTTCTGGATTCCACTGCTAGCCACTATCCATCTTTGCTTATAATACTTGTGAATTAAGGTAATATTGAGGTAATATGCACAGTATGCATATATGCCAATCAGAGACTGATTGACTTCAGTCCTAAACATCAATAGGAAGATTCAAGTAAACAATACCAAATGAATAATTCATTAGTTTATATGAAGATAAGATTTCGAAGTTTATTTAAATTAATTGTCATCCATAGTCATAGTATAATATTTACAATGTTTCTCAATATAAGTCATATATATATATATATATATATATATATATATATATATATATATATATATATATATATATATATATATATATATATATACAGAGAGAGAGAGAGAGTCAGTTAGTTAGTTAGTTACTGGAAGAACAATTATGTCAAAAGTAACATTTCAATTTGTAGAACTAGATGACGTAGGTCAGAATCTCAAAGTAAATTTCAGTTGCTTAAACATTACGAATAACCTGTGTTGATGAAAGCCAATTAACACGAAATCTAAGATCAACATTTTCACTGAACATATCACATTCAAATACCAATACTTTTGTTATAGCAAATGTTGGTGATAATGATGTTGTATTCTTCAAAGTTGGATGATCTAATTGTTTATTATCTTTCTAGACAACATATTCAGTAGAATGTTTCAAACACAAGTAGTGAGCTATTGAAATACTTCAACAAATCAGCTATTTTGTTGTTTGAAACAAAAGGATAAACTTCAAATGCGAAATTAGCCAACAATTCTGTTTTCATATTTATATGTATTTTATATCCGATTAAATTGTCATAATCCCTTAAAAAAAACAAACAGCGAAATAATTCCAATCAAATCATGATAGGTATGGCCATCTTGTATACTGATTGTCATATATGAAGGACAATGAGATGAAATAGAAAGAATAACGAGTAAAGTTTAAAGAACTGTTTTTTTTGTCGATAATAATTAAGAAGACTAAATATACAGGATGTAATTTGAAGGAAATAAAGAAACTATATTGACCCAAAAGATCTAAGGCATTATGCATAGCAACTCACAGAAATTTGAATATTTTCTGTTTATACACACAAATGCAGAAGTGTTTATGGGAATTCTTAAGTCTAAACAGAACTCTATTGGTTAAAGGATTAACATATATTCTGTTAAAAAGTGGAAATATAGCTACAAATATATTCGCTCTGTATAGATTTCAACCATGTACAGTGTCGATATATATATATATATATAACTGTGATAGAAACTGATAGTTGAGCAGTATTGTGAATACATTTGAAAATATTGACTATCGGATTCCAATTTAATATTTGAAAGTCAACCTAGTCGCTGTCAGATCCGAATGTTTCGGGTTCGATTCTGAATGCTTTCATGAGTAACTAATTAGTAAAAAATATTTCTTCAGCTAACTTGTATATTTAATTTATTTGCCTAAATATATTTGTTAAGATCTTTGTATAGATTTCAGTTTCTTCTAATTGTTTACATATGATTAGATCCTTTACGGATATTGAATTTAAATAGTCCCACGATTCTGAATATGACACTGTTAATTTGAACTTAAAACTTGAAAACAGATACAAATACTGTGGTAGATTCCACTCAAAACCCTGGAATAAAAACTATGTTAAATGCAATTTATCTTACAGTAAGCTACCATCTGATCTCTGTTGGTTTCCTCATGATTTTGACTATCGTGTGATTTATTGCTCAAGGAGATTAAATGAATCTCGAATTATGTGACACTTACTTCTAAGATTTGTATATTCTCTTGTACATTAAATGCTAACCTACATTATTCCTCACGATTTTTAACTGGACTCTCGGGGAAAATTTTCATTATATTACATAGACTGTTGATGTCTACTAGTAGGAGTAAAGGGTGAATCTTTTAAAGTGATGATGAATATGATTGTAAATAAACAACTAAAATCTTTCAAAAGATTGACAAATGTTATTCTATGGAATACAAATAACTTACTTCACTTATATTGTTACATGTGTTTGCCTCCTAACCCAATCAGATACAATTACATTAGAATTAGTGTATAAAAAGAAAAGTATGACACTTCTACCATAATATATTTATCACATATACTAAGTGACGAACAGCTTATAAGAGATGAGCTGATTATTAACCGATCAGATGATCCATTACTAGTATGGGGGTTGTGGAGATTATTACGTTTTTGATTGAGATCATGAACCGATTGATGTTAGACCACCACCTTTGGAAACCTGCAAGCACTGGACGGCCGTTTCGTCCTATTTTGGGACTCCTCAGCAGCGCGCATCCACGATCCCGTCGCGGGATTCGAACCAGATGATTCATTATTGTATAATATTCATTTCTTATAAAAATGGATTATGTTTAACATTCAATTATATACATATATGTATATATGGAATAATATTGAGTGGTAGGGAATCATATTTGCCGGGCACTTAACGTCAACCGTATATATGGATTGTTACTTGTATGAAGAATAAAAGTGAGTTATTCAAATATCGCATGCTGAGAATCTGATAATGTATTAAGCTAATAATACTGAATAAAGGGATTAGTATTTTTATCACACTAATACTCATGGTTTGTTTCTCTTTTTTGACGAGTTTCTTGTCAGAAAAAGAAAGAGAAATACTTTTTCCCATTCCTTACATGTTTATCTAATAACAACAGTAATAATCGTTAATGTTTTCGTTATGTAGCACTGATTTTAGAAATAAAGCCGTTGAAAACATAATCGGATAATAATAAATATTATTTTTTTTATTATACACATCGAAATGTAATTTATAACTGAAAATTAATAAACTGTGGCATCATCAGTACAGCGGTTGTGGAGATTATTAAGTTTTTGGTTGAGATCATAAACCGATTGACGTTAGATCATCATTGAAAACTTGGAAGCACTGGACGACCGTTTCGTCCTATTGTGGGACTCCTCAGCAGTGCGCATCCACGATCCCGCTCACGGGATTCGAACTCAGGGCCTTCAGTCTCGCGCGCGAACGCTTAGCCTACTGAACCACTTAGCTGGCATCGGTTCATGATCTCGATCAAAAACTTAATAATCTCCACAACCGCCATACTGATGATTAACATATGTGCTCACTGGTGACTAGCCTCGTGAGGGAATTATTGGAGTTCTAGTGAGAAGCCGTATCGGGTAGAGACAGGTATCTACCTCAGTACAATGGAAGATGGTCGGGCAATTTCGTGGATTGGTTGATGTTAGACACTAACACCATTAGATGCCAGCCAGATCAGTGGTCCAGTAGGTTAAGAGTTCGCGAGCGAAACTGAAGGCTCTGTATTCGAATCCCACGAGCGGAAACGTGGATGCGCGCTGCCGAGGAGTCCCAGAATAGGACGAAACGGCCGTCCAATGTTTCCAGGTTTTAAACGGTGGTCTAACATCAATCGGTTCATGATCTCAATCAAAAACAGTAGCATATTTGTAAACAAATGATTACTAGACGGTTTCTGGGAATTGTTAAAGTTTGTAGTAAGCCTCATAGACTGGTGTTAGTTATATAACCATTAGAAACCGTAAGGCACTTCACAACCATTTCAATCTAGTTCAGAACTTCATATGAGCGAAAACAGACAAACTAACCGAAGAATGAAACTGGGACTGTCAGACCTTGTAAAGTAAATGTGATGTTAAAAATACTGAGCTTCTTTCAAACTTCAGTCAATTGGAGATAATACGCAACTATTATCCAATGCAACTAGTGGATAAATACTTCACCTCTGACATGATTTAACTACCTAGTCGGGTCATTAATACAAATTGTGGAGGAATATCATATTAGGAATAAACATTTGTCAGTTTCTCTCTCAATTTCAACGGTTTTCAGGCTACAGCCAATCAGTAATTTAGACCTTAAGTCTTTTTTAGTCATTGATGTTATTTCATAAGCGCAAAAATTGCTTCAGAAGGCATATATTATAAAAAACATTACTGTTCTTAGTTGCATGCATAAATTTGTATAGAAAGCCACAAGTTACATAATCCAAGTGAGGGCTAACAAAGCTATATTATTTACTTGTTGTTGCAGGGCACAAAGTCTGAAAACACAAACTATAACACTAATAAGCGGTTACTAACCTCATCACTTCATTTCCACAATAGACTTCAAATCTTAAATAAACAGTACATATTTTACAAGCCAAAATAGGATAAAACATGCTAACTTCAAAGAATGTAATCAGTATAAAATTAATAAAACTTCAAGTCGGAGTTTAATAAAGTACACTGCCCACATCAGTTAACTTATGATACTCTAAGATAGGGACTCAGGATCATCAACGATTCACTGTTTAAAACCATTTGAACTAATATATTGTCTATGAATAGTTTAAACTAACATTGGTAATCATATCTTCACTTTTGTTTTAACTCTTCATCTTCTCTTCCTCCATGCACTGATACAAATATAATTACTCCAGGTTCATAAAGCAGGTATGAAATTAAAATGTCATAACGTGGCAAATAACGTACGATACTGCCTTTTTCCAATCGTCCAAAACTTGTAATTACGTTTAAAAGAGTAATGACATTAGTTAGATCTGATAGTGATAGATGATTAATTGTATGGTATTGCATGTCTATGATTATTCAGTAAATGAATGAGAAAAATTGCTCAGTTTAATTAATAT